AACCTCGTAAGGAGCGTGAAAAAGGAGAGGGAAAAAAAAAAAAAAAAGATCTGAAGCTCAACATCAAAAAAACAAAGATCACGGCCACTGGTCCCATCACCTCCTGGCAAAGAAAAGGGGAAGATATGGAGGCAGTGACACATTTTACCTTCTTGGGTTCCATGATCACTGCAGATGGTGACAGCAGCCATGAAATTAAAAGATGCCTGCTTCTTGGGAGGAAAGCGATGACAAACCTAGACAGCATCTTAAAAAGCAGAGACATCACCTTGCCAACAAAGGTCCGCATAGTCAAAGCTATGCTTTTTCCAGTAATGATGCATGGAAGTGAGAGCTGGACCATAAAGAAGGCTGACTGCCAAAGAATTGATGCTTTTGAATTGTGGTGCTGGAGGAGGCTCTTGAGAGTCCCCTGGACTGCAAGGAGAACAAACCTATCAATTCTAAAGGAAATCAACCCTGAGTCCTCAGAGCTGAGGCTCCAATACTTTGGCCATCTCATGAGAAGAAAAGCATCCCTGGAAAAGACCCTGACGTTGGAAAGTGTGAGGGCAAGAGGAGAAGGGGATGACAGAGGACGAGATGGTTGGACAGTGTCACCGAAGCTACCAACATGAATTTGACCCAACTCCGGGAGGCAGTGGAAGACAGGAGGGCCTGGCGTGCTCTGGTCCATGGGGTCACAAAGAGTCGGACATGACTTAATGACTAAACAACAATAACAACATAAGCAGCAAAATAACTTGAGTGGTACTGTGCAGAGCTGGTGTTTTCAGTGGGAGCCACCCTACTCTTAATTAGTGTGCCTTGTTACTATGACAATTGAATTTTTCTGCCTACCAGCCACATATTGTGGGTGTAGGTTAAATGGATATAGTAATTTGCAAATTACCTGGGTGATACACCTTATACAGACTAGATAACACTCTGGAAAATAAATGTATGTAAAAGAAAATTTGCCTAACTGCGTATTTAGGATAAAAGATTCTTCGACATGGATTGTTATTCATCTAATACCCTTCCCCCCCCCCTTTTTTAAAAAAACACTTTTGTGCAAAGGGATGTTAGGAGAAGCATCCCAAAACTCAAAGGCAACATGTTCTGAAACACTTACCAAACCATGCCTGCTGCTCCCCTTGAACTTCAATTGCAAGTCCAAAGTCAGCCAGCTTCACAGCAGCACCTTTGCACTTACTTGCAAGTAGCAAGTTCTCAGGCTGAAGTGGCATGGGGGGAATGGAGAGAAAGAAGAAAAACATTCATTAGTATTTTCCCTCTGTAATCTTTTTTCATCTCTGTAGAAATTCTCCCCCCCCCCACAACACACTGTTTTGGGCTTCAAAGAGGGCCCTTGTTCTCAAAGTCCAAGGTGCAACTATGACATGCAGCAATTTCACAGGAGAGGATGAATGCCCCCTTTAAAAAGATGCAGTAAGTCAACAGCATTTGCCTTGGCCACCCTTGCAATACAGCTGGTAAATCTGCCTAAGACATATCATTGTATATACCCAGTAGTGCCAATAGATGGCACTGATTGTGCATCTTATTCAAATTTGCTCAGGATACAGCAACGTCCAGAGATATAATACTGCAGCAAACATAACAAGCTGCAGTGATAGCAAGTCCCCAAGACACTGGATGGAGGGTGATCTGTCAGGAGCATGTATATACTCGTTCAATTTGCTGACACAGAACTCTGTAGCGACAGAACCTGCACTGGCACCAAGAAAGCTGGACATTCAAGCTATGCCGATAAGCAGGAGTCTTCATAATCTATGCTACTTCTGTAAATTATGTGGAGCTGAAAGATGCTACGGAAAACACTCAAACTCCATCCTCACCATGGGAAGGCATGTTTGGCTCCCATTAGGTCCTGGCCAAACCGAGCCACTTATTTTGGCAGCCTATTCTGTATATCCACAATTCTTTGCCCAATATAACATCCGAACTAAGGAAAGTCATAGGACATCTACCCCTTGCTACATCATAGGACATCTACCCCTTGCTACAGAGATCCAACATGAAATGCATGTAGTCACTGCACTGCAAATGAAACTAGAGTCCGCACATGAAAGGAAATGTTGGTTTTTGAATGTACAAGGCTGAGGCTGAACCATTTCATGTTCGCAGCATGCCTGCTTTCTACATATAGGGGACACTTTCGTGGGAAGTGTTTGAGTGCACATTCTCTTCCCTGTCTAGGAAAAGCTTTGCCACTTTATTTTGATTGGTGTATAAACTGCCTCTAGTTCTGTTTCTTTTGGCTAGAAATGACCTACATCATAATGTTGTTGCAAAAGTGAAAAGGGTATAGATACTGTACAGCCTTTCACATATCTGGAATGTCAAAGACATACATTCACACCACTAAGATTTTACAGCAGGAGGAACAACAATTAGACATTCATCCGCTGCAAACACACCAGATGGGATAATCCTTCTTAAGACTCAGGAGAGCACTTTTACCTGTAACTGGCAAAAAAAATGTGGGCATGTAATAACATAGCTTCGGACAGGACATTAAGGTGTAAGGCTATGGGGTGTCTAAATCTGGGATTCCAGAAACAGAAGTCATATCATGGCTCACTCTAGCATCTGTGTACTTCACACCACTGGCTTAAAATCATCTTGTTGGAAACATTCATATGCAACTAGCAGATTTTTCACTGTAAAGTCACCCACATGTCAGAGCTTAAGATATCCCGATTCCACTAATAAACTTCACAAACTCTGGTTTCAATAAGGATTATTACTGCTTATTGAGTATAAGAACTGTGGCCTTCATATCTAACAAAAGAATAGGGAGTTTCAAAACAGACCGAAGTGCCTCCAGACTACCATTTAACGGAACAAATGTTTCACCCCCAATTTGAATGAAATGGTAGACGTTCTTATGCAAGGACATAATAGCTGTAATGAAATCCACATTTTATACACTTGTTTCTGATTATTCCTCAGTGAGAAGCTGATCTGATAACCTGTTCTACTATGGAAGAGTCTGTTGATACCCACACTGGTGATTCACAACCCCTTGATCCCAATTCAAGAGATAATTTGTGTTTTGAAAGCAGCTATGCTTTTGAATGCTCAACCCTTCAACATTATTCAACATCATTTTCTTACACAAACATATACATCTATGCCTGCCTATCCCCCCTCCTTAAGCAACAAACAACCCCCCCAACCTTATATTTTGCACAGGACTGGGGTAAGTGACCATGGTGAGGGTTTTCAGAAGAGGCTTACCAGCCTGATTCCTGAACTAGAAGTTATACTACTTTCAAAATCACCACACAGGTTTTCGCTAGACAGAGGAAACTGCAAATCCCACGTTCCTGATAGGAAATATTCAGACAATTGATAAGACAAGCACTTCAAGCTTCTGAACGTAGAAATTAAAAATTGAAGCAAGGATCCAGTTTGACACCAGTAACTATCTAGCCATTTGTTTACTTTGCCCAGGAATCCAAAAGACTATGACTAGCTAATCTTTGTCCCATCTTTCTCCAGGCTAGACTAAGAGATTGCAATACTACTCTGTGTCTACTTTCCAAGGTTGAGGTCACAGGGGAATAAGCTCACTAAAATTTCTTGGTTTCTTAGCACCTTCTTGTAATATGGAGCAACTCCTTTATCAGGAAACGAAATGTGAGCTCTGAGTGACCTCTCTTCCCAGAGAAAGATGAGTGCAGGAAGAATGAACAGGAGATAGCTTGTAGCTGCTCTAGCAAGTTAGAATAGCAGGGAGAGACAAAAGGGAGCCCGCCCTCTTGCAACACCTGAGTGAGACTGATCCTATGAGCAAAAGGTAAAGCTAAGTGCATCACCTCCATTCAAAACCAGCTTCTGTCTGGCTCCATCCACCCACAGCCATGCCCTCCTACAGCCATTCCACGTCATTTCACAAGGAGAAGTGTCATTAAGGTCCTCTCTATCTGTATGAGATGAAGAGGAAGAGCATGGAAAACGTATTGTTTTCTAGTCTGTAACTCCCAGGAGGTCATGCTGGGTAGGGGTTTCTGGGAAAGAACAACTTTCCCAAGCTCTGGTAAGGGGGGGGGGGCAAAGCAGCCAGTCTTCCTTCGCTTGGCCTGGCTGAGACCAAATGCCCATGCAGTCCCTCTTCTTCACATTGGGTCAAGAAAGCACTACAGACCCAATGTATAGGGTATCTGTTTTGTTTCCACAGTAGAACAGTTTTGAGGGCCTTTAGAGCGAAATGGTGAAGCAAAGGTATCTTGCATACATTAATATAAATAACCAAGTCACCACTGCCACCAATGGAAAAAAGCTCACTATATTCCCAACAGATTAGGCATGACAATTTTTTTTTCTACAAATAGACCATTGCTTTCCCGGTTCTCTGTCCAGAAGAACTGGGACATCTGGCTGGAGTTGCTACCTACAGATGCCTGCCTGTATTGGCCGTAGCCACCACACCTGAAACATTATACTGAAACAGATAATGCATAAGAGTCATTGGGATCAATATCAAATACTAGGACTTCATTACAATGATTATTCCCCTCCATTTGAATTATCTTGTTTTTACATTTAAAACTATCAACTTTACACAACTCAAAAGGGAGTGCAATACAATCATTCTGGCTCAGTGGCTGTTAAAAGTAAGAACAAAGCAAAGGAAAAGCAAAGTGTGCTGCTTATATACCACCCTATAGCGCTTAAAAGCACTCTCTGGGCTGTTTACAATTTAATTATGCAGGCTGCACATTGCCTTCCCAGTGAGCTGGGTACTCTTATTTACCAATCTCAGAAGGATGGAAGGCTTAGTCAACCCTGAGCGGGCTTACCTACGTTCATCGGAATCAAACTCAGGTTGCGAGCAGAGTCTGGACTGCAACCCTGAAGTTTAATCACTGTGCCATAAGGCTCTTGTTAACATCCCTTCATCATCAAGAATAGAATAAGGACTGACAGACAATAAACCACATCAATGGAAATACGAGTCAGCCAGAGCCGACTGTATCAATCTACTCAAGAACCAAAAAAGACCTGCACAGGCTCCAGCACCAGTGTCACTCTATACCTTCAGGTAAATATTTGCTCAACAATGGCAGTGGTACTGTACTGTTAGGTCCACTACTAAGTATTTTTATGCTAGACCCATTTCCGGGCATTCAGAGCTTCCATATTAGCCTCTCTCTCTTTCCACAGTGGCAGCAGAAAATGCTTTATTGTTTCTTTGGCTAAGTGAATACTTATTGCAGCTCCTGGCTTTTCTTTAGGTGAGAGACAGAACACTGTCAAAAAAGGGCAGTCATCCAAGTTCCAGCTACTCCGTACAGGGAGCTTTTGAGTTCCTAGTGCAGCAATGAGATCATCACTGGCACAGCGGGGGGGGGGTGTCTTTGTAAGACTGGAGAAAAGCAGCCACCCACCATGATGTTCATTTCTGTTCTCTTCCATTTGAACCTGCGGCCAATGTAAGATTTGCTTCAGGATAGATCCCTGCATTGCATGTGCTCAAACACTAGCCTACAGAAAACTATTCTCAGAAACATTTCCTGCAGTTGTTTATAGCACCACAAATGTACTTTCCCACCAGATTCATGCAAATGTCTTTCCTGCAATATACTTCACATCATCTCATTGGAATCCTCTCCAGGAATATTCAGAAAGGTTTGGTGATAGGACATTGTCAAAGATCTTCCTCCGCACTTCAGTGGGGTAAGTCAGTTTAGAGAAGTACCCTGTTTACTGGTGGCTGCTAGTTAGCTGGTGAGTTGCCAGTGAACATTTAATTTGAGTGGCTAGTGGAAGCCTATTGCAGTTCTTCTACTTTGTGAATCCTAGCAATCTTAAGTGTGGGGAAAATATGTCAATGCTCAAAACAGACTGATTTTTCATGTTGCCCTGTTTTTTTTAAAAAAAATCATTTGCTAAACCTATCAACCAATTTTTTTTTTTACCATAGTTTACTTTCATTTGACAGCAGAAAGGCTTGGGCATTCTGTGGTAGTCTGATTTTTACTATGCTCCAATCAAAAGACAAATTAGAGGATAGTCCTCAAAAAAAAAAGAGGGTTGCCAATATAATTGTTAAATGAAATTACTATCTGTGAAAAATATGATGCACATTGCTACTCCTGAGAGTGGATAGAGGGTTAACTGCTGGCAGACCTGGAACTTAACATAATGTAGAACATTTCTACTAAATGCTGGCACCAAAGTCAGAGAGATTTTTATTCTTCACCAAGAACACCCAAGGTCTGACTGACTCCATGTCTGCTGACATGGCTGCCACCACTTAACACATATTGCACAGCATCTACTTTTAGCTTTCAACGTGGTGCATGGGTGAGAGGAGATGAACTACGTCCCTGCTTTACCTTTCTCCCTGGCCCTTCATCGCCAGGCAGTCTAACTCCTAATACAAGAGTTTAGCCGAAGAAAAAGCTCTAGCAAACAGACTGTAGGGAGATAAGGCAAGGGCGGGTGGAACTTCTTATGTGCCCCTTTTTCACCTTTTCAAACGACCCCTTCCAGGTCCCACTTTACGCAGGACCAGAGCAGTCCTGTGTCCAGCCACTCCAGTTGCCTCCTTTACATCTAGTTAGACCTAAGCAATGAGCAGCTTTTATTCGCACACCACTCCTAAGAATGCCTTATCCACTTTCCTAGTACAAATCTACCATCCATGCAGCTTCTAAAGTAATACTTCAACCCATCTTATAATTCAACAACCTTGTACAATGACATCTGAAAAGGCTTTCCTGTTGGGTTATTTCCAAAGCTGCTTATATATATGTTTCATCACAATATTTTTCTCTAGTAGCTAATGGGGTTTCTAACTGAAAACCTCATGTTTCACCATATTGGATAAGACATCTCCCTAGCCAAGAAAATAAATTGATCAAGAAGAGCTAAGATCATCCCAGTCTTGAACAAATGTAGTTCTCCTGTGTCAATCTCTCTAACGTGCACTTACTGTAAAGCTAGCAGCATTTTCACATCTTTTGGCGAAAAAACACATTGCTGGAGGAGAGTGCAGATGACTGAGGCAAAAGGGGAAACCTTATTACTATTTCACGGAATGTTCCTGCTGTTTCCCTGGACTTCCACAACTAACACAGTCTGTACAAAGAGGTATTCACCAAGATACAACTGCACTACCTATAGCTGTTTTCCAAAAAAAGGAGACATAGACCTTTTTCTCTCTAGATGGACACCTGTTTTTCTGTAACTGAATGTAAAGTGTTTGCTGACTCTTGGTTGAAATCAACAGCTTAAAGCTTAAAACAGACACAAAACCTACCTCTTCACGGGCAAGTAAACTATGAATGATGCCTGCGGTATAAATACTGCAGACAAGAAACTTAAACACTACGTATGTGTTGTAAAACAGCTGCTGAGGAAGACAAAGTCAAAACACGTTTCACAGTTTTCACTGGTCTGGTGAGCCAGTGATTTTCAAACCTCTTACCTGTAGGGATCCTTGTCTGCATTGATTTGTCTGCCAATGAATCTTTTATCTCCTGCTGTGGAACTCTGCCACTCTGCAAGGGATCTAGGGGTATGTGCTTGGCTCACGAGGGATGCTGGTCAGGCCTAGTAGTCCATGTGAAGTGAGCAGCCCCACCCCGCCCACCCCCTTGCCATGTAAGGCAGGTAAGACAAATAAGGGAACAATTCTCATAAAATAGAATGTGGGAGCTGTACTGGGGTCCATGGCTTTTTAACTTGTTCATAACTGATCTGGAATTTGGAATGAATTGTGAGTTTGCTGGCAATATCAATTTATTATACAGTACTTAGCCTTGTGGAGCATTGGTTAAACTGCAGTACTGCAATCAAGACTCTGTTCATCATCTGAGTTTGATCCTGAGGGGCTGAGGTAGTTGGTTCAAGGTTGATTCAGCTTTCCATCCTTTCAAGGTTGGTAAATTGAGTACCCAGCTCACTAGCGGGGGAGGGCAATGTGCAGCCTACATAATTAAATTGTAAACTACCCAGAGAGTGCTTTAAATGTTATGCGTTGGTATATAAGCAGCACACTTTGCCTTCTGTTTTTTCGAGGGATGTTAATAAGGATATAAATGGGATTCAAAGAAGAACTGCAGAAGAATCTCTCCACATTGGAAAAAAAATGGCCAACAAAATGGCAACTGCCACTCAAGTTAAGTAAGTATAAAGTGGTATGAAACATGGTCAGAGGGTGGTGAGGATGAATCCCCCAATTTATACACTGACCGGGTTTGATGTAGTGATGAAAGACCAGAAAGGACATACAGAAATTGCAGTAAATAACTCAACAGAAACATCAATCCTGTGTGACACTACTGTTAAAAAGGCAACTTCCATGCTAGAGATCACTAGGGCAAGGACTGAAAATACAACTGCTATCACTATAACACAGTTATAAGAATCTGCTGTGTTACTACTCTCAGAATACTGTATTCTGATCAGTAAATACAATTCTGATCAATGAATACAGTGGACCCTTGACTTACAGACGGCTTGACTTACAGACTTTCTGACTTGAGAACCGCCTTCCAATACGGATTAAGTTCTCAAGTCAAGACCCCACTGTATCTTTAATATGCAGCAGACAAACTGATCTGTAAGAGGAAGGAGGGTATGCATATACATACCCAGTGCTACCTATGTACAGATCCACAACTGCTAGCAAAATCAAGAAAATTTTCATGCCTTTGCTAAAACACAACACAATACAGACATGGGCCATCGTACGTAGGCTCAAAACACAGGTTTGGAGTTATGATGAGTATACAACAGTCACTACCAGAAGGCTATCTTTCACAAGAGAGTACTCTGAGCCAAACAGTCTCATAGTCAGTAGAATGTAGAATAGGTTGGATCACTCAGGTTACAGCAGGAGAGGTCTGATTATGTGATGAGCAGTAGGGTGAATGAAACAAGAATGAAATATTGATTGCTCCACATGTCACAGAGGCTGGACCTCCAACCACTGCTGTTTTTTAAAGTTAAACGTCCTGTGTTTTACAGTTATCAGACGCCTCACCGGGGGAAAAAAAAGCTATCCTAAACAATTCTGTAAGGAAACAATCCTCTCTTCATACTTCTTTGGACCACCACATGGTAGATAATGGATATGGCAAACAAGCAGGACATCAGCTGTCTGAGAAAGAACTCTGTGGGTGTAACAACACTCAGCAGGGTTCTTAGACAAGTTTTCCAGGCAAAAGCAGGAACTTCCAAAACAAGCCGGGTGCCTGCACTGCAGATTTGTTCTATTTTGGTTAATTTTGCTCAAAGCATGTTTGCCCTTTGTCTTCTGCTCCCTGCAGTGCTTATAGATCCAGTCTGCACTCCGCTTTTCCCTGTGGCATGGATTTACTTATGCTGCAATAACTGGCCCTTCCCTCCAGATGTACTATCAGGATTAGCTTTATTTGCAGTACAGTGGTTTTTAAAGAACCTTCAAATTGCTACTGACTGCATAGGAATACATTGCTAGGAATCAAGGCCAGTCTTCTCATATGTTACAGTTTGTTTTGCTGCAAGTTAAGATGATGGCCAACTGGGGAGGATGGGAGTGGGCACAAGAAAGTATCACTCCCAATGGTCAGCATACACATATTTTTCCTCCACTGAGCCCTGGAGTTAATGCAAATGTTCTGCTTGCAAATTAATTAAGTCCAGAAACAAGTATGAAGCCCAGAATGCAACCATTCCTAATAGCAGACCAATGCTGGTAGGAGGAAATGCATGGTTCTGAGAGTGGTTCATCATCTGCAGGAGAAAAGGTCATTAAAGTAAAAACTACTGAACACAAAGGCACTAATATAGACATGTTCCCACTCCTAGCAGATCAGATGGAGATTGGTGAGAAAGAATTTGCATGACTGTGTTAATTCAATCTCTCCCCCCCCCTCACCACTACATCCAATTAAGCAAGTCTATATATAAGTCAGAACTGATCTGATGGCCCATGATGACGATATTTTGTACTGAAGGCAACAGTTACCTTTAAGTCCCTGTGTACAATATCATGCTGATGAATATGGTTGACACTCTCCAGAATCTGGTGAATACAGTGGCTGTGGAACAAAAAAGCAGAATAATGTTATTCATTAACATATTCCTTTTATAGAATATGTAAGCCATTTCTCTAACAAGGCTCGCAAGGCAGGAGTATTAGACAATACACCCAAGAGCAGTGGGCTTACAGTTCAATAGTTCATCAGATGCACTGAACAAAAAACAACCATTTTCTGATGGAAGCATTCTACCTATTGTTGTGTGCCTATTTTTCTTTGGAAATTATGGAGATCACAGTGCTGTTTTGCCCTTTCAACTTACTGCACCATAGACTGTTTGGAAGTGGATATCCCAGTCCCACAATGCCTTTCCTTCGATCACTCCATCAGCAGCCCCAAAGAAGTCATATAAACCCCGTAAAAGCATGACTGGGAAGCCTCAAGTCAGTTTGCAGGCTGATGTCACACTAGCCTGCTTTTAGTAAGGCTCCATGCAGACTCCTTGAATCAAAGAGCAGTTTCTCCCATCTCATCTAGATTGGGCACCTGCCAGGCAGGAAAAGCTTTTAGTAGCAATAAATGCAAGCACATTATCAGAATGGTGTGTCTGCAGAGAGGGGATGGGCACCTTTTAAGTACCAAGCCCACTTAGCTTGCATTTTCAGCTCCCTGGTTTCTTCAAGTGGCACAAAACACACTTCCTGCAAGTGCCAGGAAAATCAGCTGTCCTCCTTTCTCTCTTTTTGCAGTCAATACTACAGAGAGTGGAGCAACTTGCCATTTACACCTCTCATGTCAGGACAACATTACTCCCACATTGTGAGTACATGAGGCAACGCACGTGTGTGTGGTGTGTGCGTGCGCGCGCGCATGCACGCGCATGCGCACACACACACACACACACACACACACACACACACACACACACAGAAGTGTGTGTGTGGGAGGGAGAGAGAGGAAGAGGAAGAGAGAGAGAGGGCACACATATAGATTTCAGGGAATGTTCATCAACCTAGTATTTTTCCAGGCTCTTGGAATGAAGCAGACACAGCAGCTGGTGTGTAAGTGACTTACTGCAAGCAAGCACGGCACTTTGATGTGGGAAACAGATTGTATTTTAACAGCTCCTCCAAGACACCTGGGAAGTTTACAGGCCTCAAACCATCCTGTAGCAATTTTGTTCTTGATAAAGACAGAGAAGTGAGCCTCGTCACAATGAAAATCTTTGAGAAAGAGCAGTAATAGCAGCGAGAGGGCAAATGTTTCTGTGTAGAATTTCTTAAAAAGACTTTTTTTTTCTTTTTAAAGAAATTCCTTTTTCTCAAACAACCTTTTTAAAAAATCTATTCTATTTGCAGAAAGAATGCCGCAATCACAATAAAATACAGCAATGGAGAAGAAAAGGCTGATACATGAGAATTCTGTAAAGTACTAATAGCAGTAGTAAAGTACACAGGGGAAGGTATGAGTACCAACTGATACACAGTGAGAGTAATTTGCTTCCCCCCCCCTTTTTTTTTTTAAAGTGTGGAGGACTTGCTCTGGGAACGAACAAGGCTGTGCAAGGCACTCTATTCCCCACCATCAAACCAAATGACCTAGCAACTTAAGCTGTTTTGTCAGCCTCTGTGAATGTCTATCTCTTCAGTCCCAGGACATGAAAAGAAAAATCTCTACAACAACTCAAACAGAGCCAAATCCACAGCAGGAGACTTTCTGGCCAAAAATGGCAAAAGCACAGAGTCCCAGGAAAGGGTCAGATTGGCACAAACTCTGCTCTCACTCGCTTGCTCTCTCAGTCTGCTCTGGAATGCAGCTTTACGCGGCCAGGGGACAAGCTAGCATTGACTCAAGCCAGGCAATGTTAAACCTGTTCAGGGTAGAGCAAGGAAGAGACTGTGTACAATAAGGTCAGTTGGGGACAGGACTATCCAGAGAAACTTGCGTGAATTAATCTTCTGCAATCCGAACTTGTGTGGCTTTGTGCTTCTTCCCCAACAGTGGGGAGGCACTGTGTTTTCATAACAAGAAGGCTGCACTGAAATCCTTGCCCCTCTTACTGTCGTTTGCCACAATGTCTTGTTATCATTTGGTAAGGATGTAAAGGAAAGGGGTTAGAGATCACAGATTACAGGAAGGAAATATCCCTGCAGGTGAGAGGTTCCCAACCTTGGGTCCCCAGATATTCTTGGGTTAAATCTCCCAGGAGCTTTCACCACTAGCTGTGCTGGCCAGGATTTCTGGGAGTTGTAGTCTGAAAACATCTGGGGACCCACACTTGGAAACCACTGCTGTAAGTAAAGGAAGCACCAGGGCATCAATTAACACAATGTCCTGGCTACTGAAGTCCTACTTAAGAGTCTTAGAACTGCAGAGCTGGAAGGGACCCTATGGATGATTGAGTCCAGCCCCTATCACGGAGGCACAGTGTGGTATCGAACTCTCAACCTTCGGCTATGTAACCAGATACTGATCTTCCTCTTACTTGAACATTTGAATCACTCAGAACTTACTAGAATTATTTTCCACCACTGAAAGACCAGAACCAGCTTCTCTTCATTTTTATGACTGCTCCCATTTCTTTAAGTCACACCTCTGCACATGGCAGGGCTTGCTGCTTTGGTAAGACTGGAAGGAAATCCTCAGCTTACATGGAACCCATTCTCTTGGCACTGTTATGCAGCACCACACTCTAAAACTGTAACCGGCTTCAACTGCAGGCTCTTCTAATGGGCAAGCTAGTACAGACCATCCGGTCTTTCATCAAGGCCTTGGTTAAAGAACTTTTACAAAATTATTTTGGGTTTAGTAAGGATTCAGCAGCATGTAGGACTCAAAGGTAGACTTCTAATGTTTTTTTTTTCCAAGTGCTAATATCGATAGTGAACTCTGAAGGGCCATTCCTAAACTTTAGATACAGGGGATAAAAAAGGAGCTTCCATCAAAGTAACACTAGTGCTTCATGTGAAAGTAGTTGCAAATCTAAACTGTAATACATCATGGTGCTTTCTCCTTTAAGGGAGCAGAGGCTGAACTTTGGTATGAAAGTAAGGATGGTGCAGTACACAGCTTCAATAACAGTGCCACACAACCCAATATGGCCACTCCAAATTATGAGGCATTTTAGGGAAAGTGTCTTTACCTGGCATCAGCTTCACTGTAGTATTCTCTGGCAACAATATCTTCAAAGAGCTCCCCACCAGTGACCCTGAAATCAGATTAAATTCATAAGGATAAAACACCTACTGGACATTGTGCTAGGATCTTGCTAAAACTCACACTTTAGCACAAAAGAGCAAGAATTAGTTGTTTCTTCATAATACTTTCATTAAAAAGAAAATTTTTGGAAAGACATACTTCCCAGATAGATTAGCTTGAAGTCAGGGCTGTAACTAGGATATAGTTCAAGCTACATTTAGAGAGCACTGGAATCCAGAAGGGAATCGACTGGTGAGTGCTAGGAAGATAAACAATTAACACCTTTAGCCCTATCCTCTTCCCTTTAAAAAAAACACTTTCTATTTTTATTGGAAGAAAACCACATTCTGTTCCTTCTCCATTGGAGCAGGGGCTCACACCCCTGTCTCATAAACCGAGTGGATGCAAGATGCCATTGCCTGGATACCAAATGGCAAGTTGTGGCTCTATTCAAACTTGAAAAAATGCCAGTGCACCTGATGAGACAAGTTTAACTAAGAGGAACCATGACGTAAAAACACTAACAAGCAATTCATAAACTATATTCCAACAAAATGTATTTCTTGGTAGATACATCCAGAAGCCAAGATGGAATACTATTTCACTTGGCCAAACCTTCCAGTTATTCTTACTTTTTAAGCGTGTGACGTCAGATATGGTGGACAAAGTGCTTGATTGCTGTGGTGCCACCACCTCCTCCCTTGACCCTTGCCCGGCCTGGCTAATCAAAGCAGCCAGGTCTAAAACAACAGAATGGGCCACTGTAATAATTAATGGGTCTCTCCAGGATGCCAAGGTTCCCCTTGCCCTCAAGGAGACACTCATTAGGCCCATCAGGAAGAAGCCAAATTTGGTGGTGGACGACACTGGCAATTATAGGCCTGTCGCCAATGTTTCTTTCCTTAGTAAAGTGGTAGAGAGGGTGGTGGCTGACCAGCTCCAGGCCCTTTTGGATGAAACCAATGCCCTGGATCCGTTCCAATCGGGCGTCAGGCCACGCCATGGTACGGAAACTGTATTGGTCGCCCTGTTTGATGACCTGTTGAGGGAGGCTGACAGGGGAAAATGTCTCTGCTTGTCCTCCTCAATATCTCAGCTGCCTTTGATGCGGTTGACCACTGTAGCCTCCTGGGGAGGCTCTCCGAGTTAGGGATTGGTGGTCTGGCATTAGCTTGGCTCCAATCCTTCTTGGAGGACCATCATCAGAGAGAGTACAGCTTGGGGAGAGTGTATCGGCCCCATGGAGTCTCCATTGTGGGGTTCCATAAGGCTTGATTATCTCCCCAATGCTGTTTAATATCTATATAAGGCTGCTCGGTTGGGTAATCAGCAGATGTGGGACTTCATGTCATCAGTATGCTGATGACACCCAGCTCTACATCTCCTTT